TTGGATCGCCTTGCGTCGCGCGGAGCTTCTCATCTCCCGGTGAACGTCGACCGGTTGCTACGTATAGGCTGGTCTACAATACATGGAGTAAGCTGGAGTAAGGAGTAGGAGTAAGGAAATAAATCCATTTTATTTCCTACTTCAGCTCTTAAGCCTTGTGTCCACGATCCAAGAACTGTGTCCAAGTTCTAGTTCCGAGAAATGCGTAGCCAATCACCTTGCAGCTTTTATGGAATAGCTGCAGGTTGATTGGCTACACATTTCTCGAAACTAGAACTTGAACCAAATTCTTGGATCGTGGACACAAGGCTTAAGGCTTACTCCCGGTGAATCAAAATGCCATCAATCAGTGTTACAATTATTTTAAAAATCATGCCCGTATTTCAGCTTCCTTACACCAAAAGCTAGAAGTTAGGGCTCTCCCTTACTCCTTACTCCGTGCTTACTCCACGTATTGTAGACCACGCATAACAGCGGGGGCGGGTCCGGAATATTGTTTCGGAAAGCGCGAAGCTAGAAAGCCAATTTATACAGGAAAGTCCCCTATCGTGAGATAGTAGATGTAGAAACCCCCGCTGTCTCATATTAGGGGACTTTTCTTTGTGGTTGACAAAGTCGAATGTAAGAATATTCGCTGTAAGACTTGTTTATAGTCAATATTCTTATATTTAACTCTGTCTTAAACACACGTTCAAGGAGTATTTAGCCAAAAAAAAATGATCCGCACGAACGCTAATTTTACTGGCTACTTGTAAGGTCGAGTCTTTCAAGAGATATTTAAGATCCTTAAATATAAGAATTGACTGTAAACAAGCCTTGGCATGCACTCGGTGCGCACTAGTGCAAGCAACCGAATTCGCCATTATAAATAAACCACGTAATAGAAAAGCCTATTACGGCCACGTGCTTAGTGCGTTGTAATCTGTCAATATTATAATTTTGCTCTCAACAACACAGTAAAAACGCTAACGTCGAATCGACGTTATCAATGGAGTCGAAACCGCATCCCAATCATCAGTTTTCAAGAATAATTAAGTTTTGGAACTTAATTTTTTGTATTAAATTACTGTTTTCAACGTTCTGAATACTTTTAATATCTTACTGGGGAGAGCTGCCAAGTTAACTTATTTAATACAACATTTAATACAAAAAATTCCAAAACTTTCAATTATTTTCAAAGACTGACTGTCGGGACGCGGCCTCGACCCCATTGACGTTGATTCGACGTTAGTGTTTTCGCTGGGGGATATAATTAATGTAGTGCAACACGTTGTACACATTACATATATACTGTCACATACTGTTGAGTCGGAAATTGTAATATTAATGTTATGTAACTGTCAGCTGTGGCGTTTACTGGGCTTCCGCTCATTGTATGAACTGTTCACTAATCACGGAATGATTTGCGCAGATCGATTGACACCCGCCTTCAATGCCGATGAACGTAACCGTCTCATCGCGGCTTACCATTACAAGAGATCGCTGTCATTTACGTTATTGCACGTCAAACTTGGTCAGCTTCGTAACGGGTTACCGCACGTTCGGCCGGTCAGGCTGTTATGCGTGACCGTTGTCCAAGCAACTACTTTAGAAATGCGTACCCTTGGGATAACTCCAGACCGGCCCTTAGGATGAGTCATCGAACCAACGAAACTTTTCTGGAACAGCGAGAGACGCGACCATCGTCCTATTTTAGGCAAACGTTAGACTCATCTAGTTGTAAAGCAACTACCGCTTTCAGAAAATACTAGACTCTTTTCAGACCCTTCAAATAAAGGACCGCAGCGGGGTGGCAATTCCTCGGCAATAATAGCTAGAATATATTACCAGATTACTATAGATTACATGCATAAATAAGAGTTTCGTTAATTTACATTGAAATTGCGAGTAATCTAGTGTAATCTGATCATATTCTATCTAATATTTTAAACAGGGGATCTCAATACACTGCAATTAGTTAACTATTGCAACTGTAGGTAAAGTAATAAAGAAATCCTTCTTGGAATGAGAATTACCTCGAATCTTACGGATGTTCTGGTGCCAGTGGTTTTTAGTTTTCTTGCGCTGTTAAAATACATTAAGCTCTTAAATGTAGTTCATTTGTTAAATCTATTAGCAGCGATCTCACCGAAAGCATTGCTGGTGAGTACAATGCGGTGCATTAATTCGCTTCGGGTCGTATATTGTCAAAAAGCATCTATGTTTACGTAATCAAGTAATTTTTGTCCATCGCTAATTATTACCAGAACCGCATTAATGCACCGTATGGTACACTAGAGTTACACGAGCGTGCAAAACGTCTCGAGTTCACCTTTCACTTTTTACGTGTTCGCTTTTGGAGCCGAATCACACGGTCGGTTTTCCAGGGTCCTGTTTTCGAATGGACACAATGGGACGCCCGGGAGTTTGTACAGGGGACAGAATACCTACTTTGCGGGGCTTTCAAGAGAAATACTGTCAGGCGAACTATTTGTCGTTTATCCTTCTCGAAAAACGAGTTGAGAACTTTCAAGCTCTAACTGGTATTTATAGCCCAAGCTCAGAACGTCTTAAGTATGATCTTGAAATAGATTTAACGCGATCTGAAATATAACATTGGACTATAAATACTGTTCCAATTGGAAGTGTTAAATTGATAACGCAAATAGCGAGACGGCCGTGTGCTCTGCAAGGTCGCTGCGCTTAAAGATTTATAAACGCACGCATAATTTTCGGATTCTTTTCGCCGATAACGATAAGAACACCTACTTTGCGGTGTTTTCGAGAAAAATATTAATAAGCGAACACTTTGTCGTTTATCCTTCTCGAAAAACGAGTTGAGAACTTTCAAGCTCTAATTGGTATTTATAGTCCAAGCTCAGATCGTCTTAAGTATGATCTGGAAATAGATTTAACACGATTTTAAATATAACATTGGACTATAAATACTGTTCCCAGGGTTGGGAAGTAACTCGTTAACTTGTAACGAAATTACAGTTGCTTTTTTTTGGTAGCTCTAACTTAACTTCGTTGCTTTCTCTCCATCTCTAACTGTAACTTAACTCAGTTACATTTTTTCGATAACTGGTAACTAATTTAATAGTTGCATTAAGAGTTGCTTTATATATTTTTTTAACATCCACAGATCGCATTAGGCCTTGCATTTGCACATAAACGCCTTAATCGACACTTCGCAATTCAAATGCAGATATCTTAATTTTTATTGCAAGATAGTAACTGCAAGGTAACGATTCGTTACTTTTTGAGCAACTGTAACTGTAACGTGTTACTTTTCAAAATTGGTAATTTGTAACTGTAGCTATAGTTACAATAAAATGTACTACAATGTACTATGTATGTTAAAATGTACTACAGTACATTTTTAGTGAAAAAACTGTAACTGTAGCTAGATACTTTTCTAAAGTAACTTTCCCAACCCTGATTGTTCCGATTGTAAGTGTTAAATTGGTAACGCAAATAGCGAGACGATGTGCTCTGCGAGGTCGCTACGCCTAAAAATTTATAAACGCACGCATAATTTTCTGCCGATTTTTTTTGCCGGCCACGGGCTCTGAAATTCTGTAAAAAGTACTCGCGACACAAGATACTAGCCGGGACCTCCTCGAAGGAAAGATCCCACATTCGAATTTAGAGAATCGACGCTGAAACCGATCATCCTTGAACGTAGGAGAGAATCGATTACAATCGATTACGAAGCGCGCGGCGCTCAAATCGATACGTTATTGCTGCATGACAATGGGATGCGCGTCCTTGGCCTAGATCCCCGAGAGATCTCGAGAAGATAGTCTGATCGCGCATCGATCTTCTCCACTGTCCGCGGCGGAACTCGCGCTTTCCGCCTCTCCGCCCTCAACTTTATTCCGCGCGCGAAAGCCACCATCTGTCTGCGCGGCTACGTGTCGCGACGTTTTTACCCTTAAAGCGACGTCGGACACACGCTCGAGCATGCGCCGCTGAAAGTGGGTCATTAGGAGCGTGACCGTAATCTTCGGCCAGGATATTTCGCGCTGGTTCCTCAAACTCGTCGATCGTTAAGCGGCGAGAAGCGGCGCGTGACTTGCACGACGTCAGGCGAAAGGTCCTCGCGATTCTTTATTTTAATGAAAGAATGACTTGGGGCCCAGTTTCACCAAACGTCGCTTAACTTTAATCTCACAATTGTCTCTTTCTAAAGTAACAGTTGGAAAGAGACAATTAATTAAGCTAATAAAAAATACCTGAGTCCTTCCTGAACACGTAAAATCATAAACGTATGAATTTGAGGCGTGCTTCATGTCCAAATCTTTTATGAAAATATAATAATACACACATAACTAATAAAAACGCAATAATATAATTACAATTTATATAATAATCTAATAATAACGCAACATGTCAAATATATTTCACTATGAGAATATTAATTATTATTCAATTGTTGCAATATGGCTTACAGTTATGATACGCAAATTCTTTAAACCGCGCGCCTCGATATGACTCGATATACATACATGCAACCTCATGCGTTAAGACATTTATGAGTCCTATAATGTTCACAGCCAAGAGATTCATTCTGCTTGACAGGACATATAATGTCTGTTGTTGAAATTATATTAATGCCAATTACACGCAGTATTGAGTCAATCTAGATCACGTTACCGACCGCCTAGCCCGTCGTTTGCGAAACACGCATCGCAAAAACGTGTCCCGTTTTCACGCATTTGTCGCTAACACTATCGTTTACGCGTATTAAAAAGGGAAAAAATAATTCAGCACTTTACGGATAATGCGTTCTCATTGCGAGTTTTATAATTTTATATTTAATTTTGCTTATAATTAATAAAACACACCGGTATAAAAAGATTACTATATTTAACACGACGTTATTATGCAGATTTCATAAGTTAATCGTTGAAAAAGCGCATGTAACGCTGTGCGCCGATCTCCTGGACTGTCGATTATTAAACTTTCAACTTAAGAAACTTAAGAAGAAATAATATATAGCGAGACGCAGTCGGTGCGACACGTTTGTTTAGTCTCGACAAGCAGCTGCCGAGTTTAAATCACCCTCGCCTAAAAGCCTCGGCCGATTGAGTTACTTATTATTTAAATGAACGTTCAATTAATTCTCAGTGGAATAAAAATTCAAATTTGTTGTCCACTGGTAGCATTAATTATTATTCTTATCGCGCATCGCTTATTCTGTTGTCGTTGGACACGAGCTAGATGGAACTCAAATGACATCGAGACATATGCTTAAATTAATTTATTTGTTACATGCGATGCAGGAGTAGAGCTACACAAATTACTTTGGAAATACCGTAAACGTTGCATCGGGAGTACATACATGTTTCGAACTCGCGATTCAAGTAAGATTGCCATTAACTCGATTATTTGACAATTGGCTTTTTATTGTCGGAACGAGAGAGGATCAATTCTTACGATGTATTTGTTGTTGTTATAAAATTTATTAAAGAATTTATTAAATTTTATAACTGCTGTGATAAGTACTTGCGAGCCGAATGGCCCGTGATCGTTTATACGGAGTTATCCTCTTGGAGATGCTTGTTGATCCAATCCAGATAGGAATAGACTCGCGTGAATACATCCGGACGTCCTTTAGCGCAGGGAATTCCCCAGGACACCACGCCGATCTGCTCACCGTCGGCTACCAGGGGACCGCCAGAGTCGCCCTGTACACGTATAATTAACAATGTAACAAATGTTCCCTTCTAAATGTCGCTCCGACTGCTTTAATCTTAACGCTGGATCTGCAATAGACGCAGCATGTCGCAAGCCGCAAGAAATCGACCCATCACAGCCAAATAGGAGACGAATAATCGACTGTCATTGGCCGATTTCTTGCGACTTGCATCTATTGTAGAACCAGCTTTATGCTTTTAATACAGTTCTGGTGTAAAAATTAATTAAAAATCTCTACGAATCAATATACAACTGTGCGATAGCTAGATGTAGCTCAGCGTTGCCATCCCAGATAGCACAAATGGTTCTATGAATATTTTTTTGGAGTGGAAATATTCTTAATTGCAGAATATTCGAATCAAACATTCTATAAATACATATAGATTATTACAATTAGAAATCGTATTTTTATAACAAGGAAGAACGTTCTTAGAATATTCGTCAAGAATTCTGGAATATTCGTTCAGAATAATTTTTAAATATTTATCGAGTTTATGTATTGCACTTTGTTTATTGTGTAATACACTTATGCAAAAGACAGTAAAATTCGGAGATAAGGTTTCCAATTAAACATTTAATGTCGTTGCGATTTTAATCTTGTCAAATGCTATCAACGCTAAAATAAATAAACGCTGCGTATTGATCGATGTCGAGAGTGCATTTCCTCGCGAAAGGACTCTCTTCCTGGATATTCGATCAAACTAGAATGTACTTACGTGACAGGCACCCTCGCCCCGTTTATTGAGTGTGCAGACATTGTTGTTGGTGATACGAAAGCTGGTGCTTAAGCATTGCTTTTGATCGATGACCGTGAGCTGGATGTGTTGCAATTCGTTCGGCGTGTCTCCCGGATACTGCAATGACCCGTGCGAAAAGATTATTTTAATGAAGGTTAATTGTGTATTATTTAAATTAATCTAAAATGTTATATTAAAATTAACCAAATGATCGTTTCAATCCGACAATTAATTAACAAAGTATCACGCAGAGTGTCTCGAATTCGTGGAAAACGGACAAATGGTCTGCTATTATTTACATGCGTATTGTACACGTTAATTATAGGTGTAACGGTGAGATGTGTGCATTTCCCAACACATACAATAAAGATTGGCAGATCTTTTGTATTTACATTGGTAGTGCCCCACCCGGACAGCGTCGCCGGATAATTGGATTTGCCGAATCTTTTGGTGGGCAGAGCAATCGGTTTCACTTTGTCCCCGAACACGATATCCTTGTCCAGCTTAATCAACCCGATGTCGTTCCAGACGAAGGCGGAATTATAATAGGGATGTACCCATGTCTTGATCGAGGAATACTCATCGCCACCTCTGTCCAGAGTGTTTGTGCCCAATACAGCAGCGATGGCCGTGTCATTAAAACTTGAATAAAAAATAAAATTATATACCCATTGAGAAATGATTCGTCGAAACGATGTCGATCGACGAGTCATTTCACGCTGGGACAAGAGGCCAATGATTATTTCAAATTCTTACCGTAATGTTAGACTCATAGTAAACATATTTAGAAATTCATACATTTTTTTATTACTTTCAAGAAGAGTTACGACTAACCAAAGTTAATTACAAATTGTTTTTAATATAACGTAAATTTAAACGTAATAATTGTAAGTCCGAAAGTTATTATTAGTTGCTATTAAAATAGTCTTATTCTAACAGCCGCTGGCACGTACCCGGACAAGCAATGAGAAGCTGTAAGGATCACTCTTTTACTTATCACAGAACCTCCGCAGAAATGGCGACCGCGATAACGAAGAGATACTTGATAAGGATATTGTCCTTCATCGGCAGGACTGCCGCCCACAATTTTCGTGATAGGTTCGGTTGTCTCGGCTACACAATTGTAAAAGCACCTTTCACGTAAAGAGACTCCGCAATATCGCGTAATTTACTCACAATAGAATTATTTGTAACGAGCTTTTCGACTTGTCTGACATCGAATTTTCCAAACGTTTTTTAACTTTTTATTATTATTTAATTTAATAAATCGATTAAAACCGATTATATAAATGTCACACACAAGCGAAATAAATCAATGAGTTTAAATTAACGACAACAAATCGCATAATAGATAATATAAGATTAGAAAATAAAATAACTTAATTATTGAATACTATTTTATTAAAATTACAGCGTGTGGGAAGAGGAGTCTCGACTCTTACCTGACAGTCCATGTATCGCAATAATACTTAAGATGCAGAATATCGACAACATTTTTAGTAACAACAATATCAACGAGCAGAATCTTTACGGGCTTGTTTTCCACAATGTTTGGTAGTTCAGTGCCAATTTTCACGCTCGTGCACCAGCGGCTTTTATATACAGTAAACGATGACAATTAAGGAAACGTTGGACATTTAAATTTAGGCCAGACACCGGCCATAAAAAGAAAATACATGGTCCGGATGTATCTCACGCACAATGTGATAGGGTAATACGCCGGTAGCCACGAAAATTTATGGCCGGATATAGTTGTTATCGTTGCTGTAGAAAAGAGCGTATTGCTGAAACAGCTAAATCACAATTCAAGCGCGATTTGGGCTTAGACGCGATGGAGACGACCAATAAATTATAATTTAATTAAGCCTAAATGTACTAAATTATTGGAATTTACTATGGAAACTTTGTTTACATTTAAATACATTTTTAAACGTTTTTAAAAATAAACTGATAATAAAAATTTGCATATATTTGCTTATACATTATTGCGAATTTACGCATTGAAAATGATTTCTAATGAAACCGATGAAAAATTTTTTATCACGTGATTTGTTCTATCACTCTCAGATATGTCCAAACAGCATGATTTAAGGCCGAGTATATGATTACATAATCACATCGTCAGTTATTCAATTTCACGCGAAACGATATGCGGTACGCCAGATATTTGTAAAATTCACTTCAACCTCACGCTCGTATCTCTCTGATATACTTGCCGAATCTGGTGACTCGATAACGCGCGTGGTTCTTCGATATCTTCGCATTCTGATGCATTTCCTTAAAAATATTAATCGCTCGGAAAATTATTTGAAAATTTTATAACATTTCTTTCATCCGAATGACGTTCGATTGTAATCCAAGTGATTTAATTAGAAACTTTCATTTATTTGCGGCTAAGATTAACGCGAAAATTTGGACTGCATATATATTTTGCTACGTTTATTGCAGCTGTTTAGACACGAAAATGTTCTTTTCCCGCGACGTGAATATTCTATGAATGTAATCATACAAGGAAACACGTCGAAAGGATGGGTTGGTAGAAACAACAGACGCGGCGATGTTGTATTTCAGATTTTTTTTTCTTTTATTAAAGTAAATCGGAAGTAATGCGAGCTGCGGCATTGCGTTGTCGAAGACGCCTACGTCGCGCGTAACTGAAACACTCTCGCGCCGATATCCGACGTATTGTTATTCCAGGCGCGAAGTTCTGCGTTTGATCCCGACCCCGACGTTGACCCCGCGCGCGCAGTCGTTTCGCAACGCCGCGTATTCCCGTTTAAACAAAGTCCGTATAAAATATGCAAATATAGGTACTCACAACCAGAGATAAAATAAAAATAAAGACGACACCGTTTTCTCGCTTATGTTGTAACGATAAAAATAAATAAAAGTAGAAAAGCTCGGCAGAGAGCCTTTATCGCGGGCTGGGCGCGCTATATCGCTTCTTTCCCCCCCCCCATTCTCCATTTCTCACTTCTCTCTTAAATAACGTAAGCAATCTTAATCAATATTCTGTGTTTCGCAAATACAAAAGCTACATTGTTTCAATTTATCACCTGTGGACTCTCTTGTCCGTATGCGACAAGCGTCCTTTAAGTATCTGTAAAAAGTAAAATCCGTAACTCTTGTCCCGTGTCGTACGGTCAGCAATGGATGGTGCGTTTTCGGGACATATATGTGTATGCATATATACATATATATATCACGAAATATCCGTATATATATCCAACATATATTAATATACATTTAACGCGCCGTGTATGCGCGCGTGCACGTGTATGTGCGTATATATATTTATATAATAATCACCATGTGCCATACTGAGAAGTGGCATTAAAACTTTATGATTGTCTAGTATATCTGTCTTTCGAATAGTTACATACATATTTATATGCTATAGCTTCTCAATAAGAGAATCTCCACGCCAGCGGCTAGTCTCCTGGCGGGAATAACAGAGTATTTCTTTCGCGCAATATTCGCCGCCCGATGTGTATACACAGAGAGATCGAAAGCAATATTTCACCGACTGCGAATTCAGGTTTCGATGCTACGGACACGCACCCGAGCGTCTCCACCTTTTATTTATAACAATAAAAGTGCGATAACCGACGTGAGATCCCCACGCGCGTGTCTGTTGCATGGAAAATGAAATTCAGCGAAATTATACCGTTTTCGATCCTTGATTTAACAGTACTAAAAATATAATTTTCTCCTCAAGACATTAAATTATACAATTATTCATCCGTCAAGGATTACAACATCGAATGTCAGCACCTTGTCTCACTTACGTATAGGCGTATACATGTTTAATACGCTTCTAACTTGCTTAATATGCTTCTTTTATAACTGTGTGTGAATTTATCGTGTAAACAAACTAAGTGTATTCTTTCCTCTTAATTTTGTTCAATTAAAAACAGATTGGTTTCAATGCATGTATTGTGTCCATATAAAACTCACATACATTACAATAAATGAATACAGTTCATATTGCATTATAGTAAGGGCGACAGCATCAATGACAAACATTGTAATCGCACAACTAAAATCTTCAAGGCAATTGTCTTTCTAAAAGTTTTTCGCTTATCAATTACAATAGAAAACTAAATTATTATATACTTCTAACTGATTTTTAGAAGCATACCATTGACAAAGTAATATTGAAAGAAGAATTGTAACTGAAAATATCGTTGTATAATTTCTTTTTATTGCTGCTGTCGAAAGTAAAAATAACATGGACTATAATGGACCGATGTGAAGCTATGATCTCTTGTCATATTACGTTATATAAAACTAGGTCAATATATTAAATGCAATTGAACACAGATATACATGCATACGCACCCACACGCATACGACACACACGCACACATACGCAGACGTAGATATATATACATATATGTATGTGTGTTTATATATGTATATATATCTTCCGTCGTAAAAATGCACCTTGCTTGAAAAATTAAAACGCATGTAATAAAGGCACGAAAGAGAAATTTATGCAGGACCATCTTTGATAGCGCGTCGAAACGTCCGTGCATCAATTTGGAGCACAGTAAAGCAATGTGACGTAAGCATTGATTATTCAGACAGTTTCCCAAATCGTGACAGTGCGAAAGAAAGTGTTGCGAGTGTCCACCTTGCACGGGATGTCCAGATTCAAAATTAACATTTATTAATACTGTATCTCCTCTGCTTTTAATGAAACAAAGCTTTAGAATGCACATCTAGTAGGTACATGTAGAAGCTGCAAATTTTTTTTTTACAATTTGATATAATTCCGGATAAATAGTCTGGATAATTTGCCATATACTTGCTTTTGTACCCTAGAATTTGGCATCAAAAATGTGAAGAAGTTAAAAGTCATGTCCTGCATAATATCGTACGGTGCTGCCATTTAATGTTGTCGATTCAAGTGCATGTGTAAACGCGACATTCAATACTAGGTCACAGAGCTCCGTCACTTATTGGCTATGAAGTATTTAAGTATATTGTTTGGTTTCGGTTTGCTGGTCGTGGGCCAGGAACGAGTGACCTCTCTCCTCTCAATGGACAGAGTCTTGAACACTGTAGTGTCCACCGTAGGTGACAACTGCATCGGTGACGAGGAGCTTAGTCTCAGACCGGCCATCTCGTTGCTCGGCGACTCTCGAGGGCCTCTCAGCCACACCTCCAGCTTGGTTTTCTTCGGTAGTGGTTCTACCTCGTTCTGCAAATCGTCCTCGGCGTTCTGACCTGCTACGTACAACTTGGAGATTGGCGAGCACGAAAGACTCGACGTAGGGGTGCCCAGACCCATCGCCGATTGATCCGAGCTGTCGTTGCTGTCCTGACTAATACTCATCGGCGAGCCTTGATTCGCTTCGCAGATACCTTCCTCGGAGCTGATATCTAGAATGGAATGGACGGCGACTTGTTTGCACAAGAAGGGTGCGATGCTGCTCCTACCGTACGATCTCTCCTCGTACTTGGTGAACGCGACTCCCAGAAGCGTCAAGTGGAACGGCTTGGAGACGTCGACTATTCGATGGAACAGCTTCATGGCGAGCGTCAACATCTTGCTGTGATCGTACACGCCGTTCCTCGTGGACGGTAAGAGGTGCTTCGGCAGCGCGCACTGCCTCGTCTCCCTCTTACCCGAGGTGGGCTTGTTCAAGTCGTGCTTCCTCACCGTTATTCTCATAGCAATGGGAATCCTGCCGTCCTCCCTCACCACCTCCATCAATCTTCTCAATAACGCGCCTAATCGCGACTCCACCTCGGCCACCAGCGACACACTCTTGAACCCATCCTCCAGACCTATGGACTGTTTCTTCCCAGACGGCTTCACCACTGTCTCGTCGATTCCCTCCGCGTTGTCCTTCAACCTTCTCGCTAGGTCGACGCCAATCTTTAGCTCCAGATTCTCCAAAGGTATTCTGCGCAGATCGTCAACTGTTCTTATATTGTTCGACAACAATAATTCCATGGTCTTTTGTCCGACGCCAGGTATCTTCGACACGGAGCCTATCGTGGAGAGCAACATGGGACCGCTGCACGGGAAGATCAGCGTCTGCTGATTCGGCTTGTTCAACGATCCCGCTAGTTTGGCGAGAAGCTTGTTGTGCGCTATTCCAGCGCTGCAGGTGAGATGCAGCTCCTCGTAGATGCGGCTCCTTATCTCCGCTGCTATTTTCGAGCCGATCATCAAGCGCGCGTGACAGCCGCACGGACATTCCTCGTCCGCAGGGCCGAACACCTTGCTGATTTCTTTCAAACTTTCAAACTCCACGCTCGAGGTGCTCATGTCGAGTTCCCCTTCGTTCTGGTGGGACCTGAGCTGCCTCTCCACTAGCGACGTCACGTCGAGAAAGTTGTCGTCGAAGCCCAGTCTCTCCACCAGTGGCGTAAACTGCTGCAGAATCTCAGATATCTTGGTCGAGTAGTGACGGTAGCTCGTCAGGTCTTCTCCGTTAACCAGGGCCAGCTCCGGGCACAGGCGCAGAGCCTCTTGCACCGGCATACACTTTTTTATTCCATATCCCCTCGCCAGGTAGTTACTGGTGACCACTATGCTCTTTTGCTGCACGCCCAGTGGCTTCCCCTCCAACTCGGGATGCTTGACCATCTCCACCTGAGCATAGAAGCAATCGACATCCAGGTGGACGATGGTTCTCGGATGGCGCATAATAGAATCAAAGCCTGCAGTATCCATTTATTACAGAATCTACTCCCACGAGCGATAAAGACTGTACGCAAAATTCTCACGTTCCACTTCTCACAGCTTCCTCGATTGCATCTGCAATAGAGATACATATGTATATATATGTATATACATATATATAGATAATTAATGAGATTTTGGAGCACTTCGAAATTAAGAAATAATGCTATTTACTTTTGGAGGAGTCTTCACAAGAATTCGCAACGTACGCCGGTTTCGTAGCGAGATGAATACGTATCTCCAGATAACGGAGCGAAGGCAACAGATATCAGTCGCCCGTGGAAAACGATAGAATCTGCGCCTACTGTCAGTTCGCGTGGGGGGGCTTTCACTCCCGAAAGTTGTTTTGGCGCTTTCGGCGGACCGTCGATCCGGCCTCACGGCACGGGGCACGTTTCCGTCGTTCGGCGATTCGCACGGTCGGCAACGCAAAACGGAGCTCTCATGACGAATTAGAGATGGAAAACTTGTTTACAGCGTGCGAACCAATTCGTTTTCATATGGTAGCCATGTTTTTAAATTGTCATAGATACAGATGATGTATACGAGAAATTCCGTGGATCTACGCGGAATCGATGAACGACCGAGATACAAGATGGTCGCGTTTCGTCTCGCTGATAAAAGATGCCACGGGGACATCTCGCGGAGAAACGTGCAACTTTCACACGTCGCAAGGGGACGCCTCCTAGGGAGTGTGGAGAATAATTTTATCCCTAGGAGCCGCATTTTCTTATTGGATGTTTAAGTCAGTGGCACCACGATGCGACCTAAGGCCTGGTTTCTTCAACGTCGCTTAACTTTAATTTCAAGACAACGGCACACGATACTATTTTTCCTACTGGATTGCTTACGAGAATCAATCAAGATTCAGCTTTAAATCATCTGATCTGAAGCCAACGGTACATGATACTATTTTTCCCCCCCACTGGATTGCTTACGAGAGCCAATCAGGAATCAGCCTTAAATCACCTGATCTAAAACTCTGCATCTTTATTGGCTCTCGTAAGTAATCCAGTATATAGAATATATTTATATATACACAACAAAGTGTTAAAGTAATGTTTAATAATTATTTTAGAGCCATTTTGATCTAATCACGATTTATTCTGCTATTCTCAATTCCTTGCCAATTTGTAAGAATTTAAATTTGTTGCATGTTTTAATATCAAAAGTTTTATTTATTATGGAAATTCTTATTTTTTATTTACATTACAAGAACATCACAACTATAAAGTCATAAATATTTAAACGCGAAATGCGCGCATATGTGTAAGCGAGCGAGTAAAATTAAGATTTTAAAATCAAGATTTTTCCTTGCAACAGAGTCGACATGTCGATAATTGCGATATGTAACTTCAAGTTAAAATATTGACGATATGTCAAGTATATATTGCGCAATAAAGGGTAAATTTTTTAATTAATCACTCGATAGAACGCGTGTATAACTATCTTGATCTCTTCTAGACAAATTTGTATAAAATGAATATATGTTGTTCGATAAAGAGTTGAGATAAACTTTCGAGTATCTAAGAAACTAACTTTGAAAGTTCTTTATGTTACAAATATTCCTTTCTTATCGTTATCAAGAGATATTTGCTTATCTTAGTTAGTCATTGAGATATAAAAAATTACGTGACTCACGGTCACGTATAAAATATTTAGAAAACATGTTGAATTTAAAAGGAATATGTAAGGATTAAAATATAGATTCATATATGAGATAAAAAAGCACTTTATTAATATAACATCATTCCAAATAATGTTGCTTTCGCGATTTAAACGTTTTTATTATTTGGTTGGAGTTGTTATTTTTTGTAAATGTCTTTTATATAAATTTATTATTCTACTTGATGCAAGTAAAAATATTAAAATACAAATTATCGACAAATAATTTTGTATTTTAATATTTTTATTTTGCAAGATAATTTCCCAGCAAACACGATGATGTTATTTGTCGTCATTTTAACATTAAAATTATAATAAATAACGTCATCATGTTTGTTTAGAAAATATTTTACAAAGTAAAAATATTAATATTAAAATACAAGATTATTTTTCGATGATTTTGTATTTTAGTATTTTTACTTGCGGAATTCAAATAAATAAATTTATATTTATATAAGTTGATATGATATATGGGCTGATATGAGAATATATTCTATGAGATACCTTATATATGCTTTTGAATATCAGTGTTAAATAATCGTAAAATCGTAAAACATCATATCTACGATAAATTGATTGTGTAAAATCAGTTCAGGTGCAAGTTCATAAAATGAAGAGCCTCTTTATCTATCCACTGTTCACGTCACCGTAATTCTTCTTAATGATAATGAATAATTGATCAAAACGTATTGACGCTAGGACTGACGATGTGATAAGTAGGGCTTTACTTGCTATTCTTTTTCATTTTTTCTCTTACATTCAACGAAAAAATAGAAAGAAACGATTCATTCACAATTAAGAATTTGAATAGACCCGATGCGTGTATGGATATACGTGTATCAGTCTGTGTGAATAATTATGCTATTATATTAAATATGAAATTTGGAAAATTTGTGCCTTACTGGGGAAATAAATATGCGGCTTCTACAGCTAAAAACAACATAGCTATTAATATTCAAGAATTTTTAAGATAATCTGATAAATTTAATTATATCAAATATTAAATTAAGACAATCTGATAAATTTAATTATATCAAATATTACTACGATATTCCAAATTATAAAGAACCCGATAACGCAGAGAAATAAAAAAAAATTCTTTTTGAATTCCCAAATTAGGAAATAAGCTCTTTTTCCATAGCATTTCTGTTCTAAAATATTCTTAAGAGTTTAAAAAAATCGCCCTTATGTCACCAATTTTGAAGTCATGAAAAAAATCGTAATAAACGTAACATCAATCTCACAATTTTTTAAGTCGTTTTTTAAAGACAGAAATGCTTATACGAATAAATTTTGTTTTTGCACATAGAATTATGTTTTTCATACTTATACTATCAGATACGCAATACGAGCAGTCATGTCACACGTGTAACTTGACCTCTTGGTCAGAGAACACGGTTGTGTCCCTTGATTGATTAATATCAGATATTCGATAGAAATTGGACTTTGTGCCAAGACTAGTCAAATACCGATTGCAAGATATAAAAAATTGCACATCAACAGCGATTTATGGATAAGAAACGGAGGATGAAGAGCTCTTAACTCACGTTTCGTACTCCTAAGCTTATATTAAGAGATACAAAAGAGAATCGTTAAACAGTTCGAAAAGAAATATTGTTACATCTCGAACATAATGGACACAATTTGAGAAATGTTACCTGAGTAGGAAATTTTCTTTTGCGAGGAAAAGATGTGGACTCTCGATGAGTGCATAGTTTCCGTGTACGTGTATTTATGTGCAAGCAATTTTTATATTCATAAGTGGCAATTTATTGTGATTTACCAACATGGAGTTTTCGACAATCTCGCGTGTTATTTTACTAAGTAAATAGCAATTGATATGTGTACAATGTAGAAATAAATACAAATGATGATCGAAAATCAAACGATTAATTTAAGTATTCTCGTTTATTATGTCCAGAAATTTTTTATACCACCTGCAAGATTAACGATAAAGTTACACGTTCTTATTAAATAGCTGTGTTTTCGTGGGACTATGTTTATCACCGTAATATAGTTCTGTGTGTTATATCACTACTTTAGATATATGAATGGAATTTTCAGCTTCAAAAAAACTAACTTTGAAAAAACATAAGAGAAATAGATTAAATACAGAGATTGTTTGTATTTTGCGCGCTAAATCCAGATTATCCAGATTATCGTGATAAGTTTGAGATTTTATAAGTGGTTTCGACCGTCCAACTGCCGTACCGGTCTGTCAAAAATCTGTCAATTGCTTGTTAAAGATTGTAATTCTCCTTCACTTAAAAGAAGGTCAATTTAATGAGAGGCCAATTAGTGATACTGATGAGTCATCAACGCGGATTCTGGGTGCTTTAAATAAAAGTGTTAAGACCTGTGTCCACGATACTAAAACTTGGTCCAAGTTCCAAGAAATACGTAGCCAATCGACTTGCAGCCTTTATGGAATATCTACACATCTCTCGGAACTAGAACTTGGACAGAGTTCCAGCATCGTGGACACAGGCCTTTAGAACTGATTTAAGAAGCAAGACTTAAATAATAATGTATTGTAACAATAATTGCATGGCTCAACAATTACAATTGCGTAGAAAAATTTGCCGCGATGTAGAATCGAATGTAACAGTAACTAATCTTGTCAAACACCGCGCAGAGCAATAAGAATTTTGAACTAGGAAAGACATTTTATTTTCTTAACTAATTCAATTATAAGTAATTAATTTTTTTAATTTCTTCGCTATCGCGCATTGTATCAATGCAGATTACATATTTCGATAATACGATACACACATATGTACTCTGATATTGGTCAATCGAGATATCGCTACTCTCAAAATTTCAGGGCCTCGATAATCAAAGATTACATCGAATTCGATGGACTTGGCACCACAGGTATCCATGATTTCAATCAAAAGTTACGCTTTTAGTTGTTTATGGTGGTATCAATTTAATTTTTGTATCTAAAGTTATAAAAAGCGCAGCGTTTTGAAACAAACTGTGGGCAATGCTCCGTTTTCCTCCCCTTATCAGAATAAGAATAAAAAATTTAATAATTCAGAATATTAAAAATTACTTATCAGCATGTAAGAAGCTGTAACCTTCTTAGTAAAAAAATGACTATATCCATAGAGTATTATGTGTACTAAATTATAACTGCAGTCAATGCACAATTTCCATGCCTCTTGCTTGTATTCTCCTGCCTTTCTCCTACTCTTGCGAACTTCTCGGCGTATCAATTAAACTGCGAGTCATTTCACGCGCTATGGTCTTTCCGTACCGCGAAAAGATTAATGATAAAATATTTGGTCGCAATCGCTATCTAATCAAGAGTTACCTTGACATCTTAACTAATCTATTTTATTCCCACACTTATAAATTATTTTTATCTATAATATGTATAAGTCACGCTCTTGAAATCAAACGATCCGAACGTCAAATCCTTGATATCGGATTTAATTCCAATTTCTCTATATCACAGTTAAAAAGCTAAACTTATCAATTCACGGCTGATTACATTGGCACACAAATTTTTCATTGTTCGTGACCCAAATTCAATACAAAGCAACAACTCTTTTGTCTCATTACTCATGTAATTCTCCTTTCCGGACTTCAAAAAAGATATATTTTTTCAAGACTGTAGCAATTATACGCACATTCTAGATACTAGCTGAAAGCCCTGGAAATTTAAAAGTCCTTTGTACTAAAAAGTATAATAAATTTTATAATTAATTTTATAATTGATAGAATAATTAACAACTTTGCGAAACTGCAGAAACAAAAACTTCGTAAATGTTACATGGATATGTGAAATATTTATGTATATTTATATATATTTACGCATGTCTTTGTATTTTTATTAGGTAAATACAAATATTATATATTTCTTTAATTTTGACAAAATGTTAATTAACTATTACTTATTTGCACGACACGTACGTGTATAAATATGTTACGTTAATTATTACAACTGGATAAAAAATTATATATTTATTAAACGCTTTGTTTTCTTTCTGGGCTTGTACGAATTTATATACCGTGAGAATTCGCGAGAATGTTGTATCCAGGGTTCCAAGAGAAATAAAGACGGCTCTGGCTAACAGATATGATAATCTGCCTTATGATAACGTGATTATAAAAACCGACGCGCTTTAATTCAGTCAGTCATGTATTCAACTGACTAATTAGTGAGGTGTTAATATAGAGGATATTGTCATAGACTTTTTTTTCATAAATACAATACGAAATTTTTCGTCTCTTCAAGAACAAATAAGTGGCAGGCGATGAAGGGTGAGTGATTGCAAATTTTTACAATAAGAGCTACAGTAGTAAAATCACCGAGAGATATTTATATATTGTAACGGGATTCTTTCGTATCCAAGCGGAACAAGGAGTCATGACGAAGTTAAAGTGGCGTTCAAGTGAAGTTTAATTTTTGGAGACATTTCAACATCGTCACGACTTCTTGCTCGGCCTGAATAAATTTCCAATTTATATAATTGACATTTCATCAATGATAGTTGACCAAATCGGACTATTTTCTGTTCGGTACAGGAAAATACCTAATCGCCATCGCCTTCCTGGCATCTTCCTGGACCGTGAGCACCGCGAGTAAATTACCATTTCTCTTCGAATTGCAAAACGTATGTCCGGCAGTGGACCCTTGTCCGCCGGTATTAATATCTCACGAAGAGGATTGTAGTAAATATTACGAGTGCAAATTGGGTCAGAAGCAATTGCGCTCTTGCGCGAATGGTCTGTACTTCAGTCTACTTTGGCGTGGCTGCGTCAATCGGCAGAGTTCGGATTGTCCAGTTGTCGACCCTCCTCCAATCCCGACCGCGAACCCTGGTGACCAATGTCCGGCGGTGGATACTTGCCCACCAAAATTAATATCCCACGAGAATGATTGTGCCAAATATTACGAATGCAAATTCGGTCAGAAGCAACT